CAAAACTAATATTCCACCGCATTGTTGGGAAACTCCGAAAGGACCGTGGCAGCGCGTACATATTGATTTTGCGGGACCGTTTCAAGGAACATACTTTTTAGTAATTTGCGATGCATATTCTAAATGGCCTGAAATTTTTATTACCAAGTCCATGAATACTTTGAAGACGATTTCAATTTTACGAGGTGTTTTTGCACGTTTTGGCTTACCTGTAACTTTGGTTAGTGATAATGGAGGATCTTTTACATCACAGGAATTTAAGAATTTCCTAAAAACCAATGGAATTATACATAAATTTACTGCACCATATCATCCCGCATCAAATGGCCAAGTTGAAAGATATGTGGGAACCATGAAGAATACTCTAAAGAAGATGGTAGATGACCCAGGAGATCTTGATTTGAAACTTCAAAATTTTTTAATGCAATACAGAAAAATACCCCACACTTCAAATAATCAGTCACCTTCTCAATTAATGTATGGGAGAGACATACGAACTAAATTAGATTTAGTTAGATTTCAAAAACCCATTGAGGTGGCAAATCAAGCATCTTCTAAATTTATGGTGGGCGAAAGCGTTCGAGTGAGACATTTTGATAGTAGGAAAAATTGTCTATGGAAATTTGGTAGAATTTTGAAGAGAGAGAGCAATCTTATTTATTTGATTGAAATGGAAGACAGAATAATCAGAAGACATATAAACCATATTGCTTCAACTAAAGTTGAGTGTCCAGTATCACAGCCTAACGTTTGTTATGTTCCAGAGGCAAAGCAAACTCTGGACACCGAAAATACTACAAGAGATAATGTTGTAGGTGCTTCATCTACTCAACATTTTTCTTATATTGATCCTGAGCAAAGTAAAAGCACAATTATAATTTCCGATTCGACTCCAGAAGTTTCCACTTCGGCGGAGATGATATTAGATGATCAAGAACCGAGAGACCAAGAGACTTTTCCGGTGGAAAGTACTGATCAAAACATTGAAACTTTTTACCAATCAAAAACTAAACCCAATCAGATACCAGAAAATGCTGAGACATTGCGAAGAAGTATTAGAACGAGAAAACAACCAGAAAAACTGAATCTTTAAATTTGCCAGGGAGGATTTGTAGTGTCCACTATGCACTAAATTATATTGTTCACCTTTACCAGTTAATTGTTGTATGTCATTATGTCAGAGTATGTGAAAATAAAGTTCATATTAAATAGTCAGTAAACTTATCATATCTGCTATTCAAATACTGTACTTCCATAATCAAAGTAAATACATAATATGGACCTCGGTCTCTAACAAACGCTATATGAACATAAATCTTCACAGTCAGAAGGGCATATTCTGGAATTTGGGACTGCCACGTATTTTTGGATCAATGCCTGCCGATGCCTGCGTCAAACTGGTCGAGGCTCGCTTGAAGCTGTATGATTTGTCCTTACAAAATGACATTGTTTGCATAACTACAGATGGGGCTAGCGTAATGACAAAAGTTGGCAAACTGATCAGTCCATTTCAACAATTATGCTTTGCGCATGGTATTCAGCTAGCTGTAATAGATGTTTTATATAAGAAGAAGCTTGAACAACCTGAAATGGAAGAGTAAAGTGAAGTTGACGTTGACATCTCGGATGATGACGATTGCGGAGATGGTGACGGTGACTTGATCTTTGAAGATGCAAATGAAGAAACTGATGACGATTTCCATTTGTCAATCAGTGCGCACTAAGTGTATCCGCATCTTTTTCTAGAAGCATGTAACATTTAAGGATAAGGATACATTTTTCTTGCACTGGTTCGACAAATGGAAAACGCTATGAATGTGATTTGACGGAAAATTATAACCTTGGTGATTATATCAAAGAGGTTCGAAGACTGGTTAAATTATTTAGACTATCACCAACAAAAAACAGTATTCTTCAAAAATATGTCAAAGAAATGTATGGCAAAGAACTCATGCTCATCTTAGATTGTCGGACTAGATGGAGCAGTTTATATAATATGCTTAAGCGTTTCATTTATATGAAAGACTGTGTGAAAAAGTCTTTGATAGATCTAAACTGCACCACAACACTCTCGGACAGTTCCTACAATTTTATCGATGACGTCGTCAGAGTTTTGGAACCGGTGAAATTGGCAGTGGATGCTCTCTGTCAGAGAGATGCCAATCTTATTACAGCAGATGTCACAATAATGTTCACTTTGAAGCAACTTTCTCATGTTGAAACAGATTTAAGCAAAGAGATCCAAATTGCATTGAAACAGCGCATTCAGCAACGTCGGACTATTTTGTCTGGTGTTCTGTCCTATCTCCACAATCCCCAAGATCAGCATGATTATCCAGATTTTTTTTCTTTGCCTGGTAGAGATGCAGTCAAAAACACTATTAAAAAGCTGATTGAGAGACTTAGTGGTTCTATTTCTATCACTATTGTGGAGGATGAGGATGAAGACCACATACCGCTTGCACAACTGCAAGAGAAAAACATCACCGGTACTGATGTACATGTAAGTACTCCGGCACAGGAATCAGAGTCGCCCCTTGCAGTAGCTCTTCAAAAAACTATCGCCGAAAAGATGAGTGCGTTCCGACCTAAAGTTCAAGAGGATCCATCAGATTTAGAATCAACCCTAGATGAGGAAGTTCAGTTATTTGAGAAACAAGGTATCCGAGGACAAAATCTACAGCTCTCTTATGAGTATTTACTATCTATTCCCCCAACAAGTGTTGAGTCCGAGCGTGCATTTTCTGCTACCGGTATATTATTCTCGAAGATTCGGTCAAGCCTTAATAATAGGTCGATTGACGGACTTTTATTTCTAAGGTCATATTTTAATACAAATGAAAAATAAAACATTGTCCCTGTATACTCATATTTTCACTACAAACGTATTTGTATTAATGTAATAATAAATATAATGTAAGGAATAATTTAATAAAAGATTAAATTTGTTAATTCTCGTATAAATCCCGGTATTGCACTCAGTGCAATTTTTATATTCCATTTGACTGCACATTTTCAGTTTTCATTTTCCATTTATTTGAAATTCAGTGCAATTATTTATGCACTCAGTGCGCATTTTTTGGCACGAGCTAGGAAGGCTCGTGGAGAGCCAATGCAGTATGTTTTGTTTTTGTTTACATGTACCGTACATAAAAATGTCTGCTAATTTCCAAAGAAAAAGTTGTTGCACTTTTGGATTTGATATGTAGCAGCAGCGAAGTTGAATTCTATGACGAAATTATATTATTTGAACGTATTCCGCAGCTTATCCACGTTGTTTTTAGATATATTATTGTTTATTATTGTTGTTTAAAAATATTGTCTGATGCGAAGTAGGTACTTTAAATTATTTATATATAGTCAATTTCTTCTAAATTTAACGGCGGATGAAACCGCGGAAAAGAACTAGAAGAAGCTGTTATTTCAAATAGATGATCTGGACCATCGAACTAAATAGTTATTTAGTATGACTTCTTCTTCATTAACTCTAAAATTCATTTCAAATACATCAATTTTTTAAATAGTTTTTGTAGTTCACTCTAGAACCATAGAACGACAGCCCAGACTAAACTTATTAATATTACAATTTTATAGGCTGTTCATTTGTACTGCTTTTCTTGTTTCAAGCAGATCTCATCAGCTGATCGGCGTTCACTTGTCCCATAACTCCCATATAATAAGCTCGTAAATAGCAGCTCCTAGCATATCTTCCTGATTTTGCGAGTAGGTAGAGTACAAATGAACAGCCTCTATACTCTATACTTACTATAAAACATGCAGAGCAGGTAACCAGAAACCGGCAAATGCTAAACAAAAACAACTAACCAAACGTGCGTTTTTATTCTCATCAAATTTGACCGATGGATCCACCATTCTATGTCGGTCATTGTCATTTTCCATTCACTAAACAAAGATAGCTAACTCATCGGTGAATCCATTGATAAGAATAAAAACGCACATCAACATAAGATTTTACATAACCCCAGAATCCGAGCCGAGTCTGCATTTTTGCTTTCCATTTATACTGCACTGGTGCGCGTTTTTGACAGCACTAGAAAAATTCTCGTGCGCACTGAATGCTGCACTGAGACGACAAATGGAAATGCCATTAAACTAATTTTGAAAAATGTTTTGAAACACATGAGATCCGGACTCTGGTGTAAGTCCGATTTTGGAACGGACGATCTGGCTCAACGCTCAACCGGTAAAAAGTCGGTACATTTTGGAACGGTTTGGTGAGTAAACTATTAGGTTCGTTCCAACCCCCCGTTTTCGTATCGTCATGAAACGGTTTCGGAACTGTTAGGATCGATTGCAGGCGCATGCGTTGACCTTGCACGGTTTTATCTTGGTACAGAAACAACGGGTAGTTGGAACGGTTTCATGATCGTTTTCGTAATGACGACAGTTCAAATAACTTTAACCCTAAATTTGTTTGTTTGCAAATTAAAATAGAAGAATATAGGATTAGGATTACAAAATAATTTATAAAAAAGGAAAATCGAACACCAAAGCTGATTCATTATCAAGAATCTGAAACTGAATCCTTGCGAGCTGATAACATCAAGGATTAGCAAATAGCTGATAATAAATTTTGTACTTTTTTTCACTTGAAAAAATAAAAATGCTACAGTCTTATAAGTTAGATTGGAAATTGGTTGTTTAACAACAACATGAACAACAACAACAGGTGACAAAAATTGAATTACGCATGTCAGTCATGGATCAGTCCACGCGGTTCTTGCTTTCCACTCGGGATCGAAATGACGGTGCTAAAACCAGTTATCGAACGATCCCAGGTTTGGTTGGAACGCCAACGAAACTGTACGGTGAACGATCATCTCTCGGTTGGAACGCGTTTAACCTATGGCGCATGACCGTGACCGTACATTCAACGGTTTTTGGCTGGTTTGGAACGAACCTATTAAACCGGTTCGTCTAAATATGACCGGTTCGAAACCGGTGAGTTTTGGAAAGTGCCCTTTACCGGCAGCAATGAATTTGACGTTTGATGCTAACGTCACACGTCACTCTTCCGTTCCTCAGCAGTCGCCATTTGCATTTTGGAATTTCCCAAGAACACGGAATTTCGTTATTTCCGTTATTCCATTTCTGCTCCGGATTTCGAATTTTCCCTTTTGGTGGCGTTTGTGTTTTGTTACGTAGTGTGAAATGTTGAAAAATTTGTGTTATTGTCAATAAAATATCTACTTTTAGGTAAAGGTAAGTCCCACACTTAATAGATTCCCAAAAAAAACCTTTTTATTTGAACTTTGTGGCTTCTTTTAGTGAGAAAATGGCCGATTCTGTGGAAAGGGCAAGATGCTTTTTTGATATCTCCATTGGGGGCCTCAATAGCGGCAGAGTAGTTTTTGAGCTTTATACAGACATTGTCCCGAAAACTGCTGAGAATTTTAGGGCTCTGTGTACAGGAGAGAAAGGGCTCGGGGCGGAAACCAATAAGCCCCTTCATTATAAGGTAAGTGCCCTATAATAATCAAGAATTTTATCAGGACTAATGGGTTTTTCGTTAAAAGTGTTAACTGTGAATTATTTAAACGTGACTGCTGTGGTCCAATAACAAAATAAACAAATATTGCGAACTGCCACATGGGTAAAATAAGTAGAAAACTTTTCTAATTGAACTGCCACCAAAAAGATACAATAATAATTCCTTTCAGTTATTGAATTGCATTCAAATGCAGTGAAAGTTTACTATCAACTAGATATTTGTAGAGGATTAAATTGAGCTTAATGTGAGCCTAATTATATTAATATCCGATTTAAATTTACAGTGTTGTAGGCTGTAGGCCAAAATGTTTGTCCATGTCTTTTTGGAAAAAAATCAAGGGATAACGCCGATAATGCACGGCGAACATGGGATTTTTGGGTTCTATGGATTTTACCAGTTTTTTTGTATGTCGTAGAGAATTTAATTTAAACAACCTTTAAATGCGACCAAACCTTGTACGTATTACGATTTGTCAGGTATAAGCATTGAAAGATGGGCTTTTTTGCACAGAAATTGCCCTGTGCCTAACCATCCTGAACAATATTTTGAAAGCTGCAATGACCTATAAGTGATGTCTATCAACTTAGCGAGACAACTTCGAAAAATCGATTTTCCATTATGCCAAGAATTTGCCGCTTTTTTGCCGCTAATTAAATGTGGAATTAAAAAATTTGCCGCTCTTTTGGTTTTTTCTTAATCACGTGTTTTGCTAACTTGACGTCAAGATAGCGAGACAACATCACTAAATATGTCAGCACTAAAAAACTAGGTACGTGAAAATTTGCCGTTTTTTTGCCGCTAATTAGTTGTGAAAATCAAAAATTTGCCGGTTATTTTTTTTTCATAAAAAATAAAGTTTGAAAAAAAAAATCATTTGTTTCGCTAACTTGACGTCAAGTTAGCGAGACATTATCACCAAAAATGTCGGTAGTGAAAAATTGAGTGAATGGGAATTTGCCGTTTTTTTGCCGCTAATTAGTTGTGAAAACCAAAAATTTGCCGCTTTTTTTTACAAAAAATCAAGTTTGAAAAAAAAATCATGTGTTTCGCTAACTTGACGTCAAGTTAGCGAGACAATATCACTAAAAATGTCGGTAGTGATGAGTTGAATGAATGGAAATTTGCCGTTTTTTTGCCGCTAATTAGATGTGAAAACTAAAAATATGCCGCTACCTTTCTTTTCATAAGAAAATCGTGTTCGAAAATAAAATAGTGTTTTGCTAATTTAACGTAAAGTTAGCGAGATCACTAAAAATGTCGGTAGTGATAGATTGAGTGAGTGGAAATTTGCCGCTAATTATCTCTTTTTCTACAAGAAAATATCGCGTTTGAAAAAAAATATCATGTATTTCGCTAACTTGACATCAAGTTAGCAAAACAGTAAACAGTATCAATAAAAATGTCGGTAGAAAATTTTATTCATCTGTCAAAACTGGTATTCGAACCATAAACTGGGCTCTATGTCATTTGCGCGACAGTCGTTTGCGCGAGGGAGAAAAGCGCGATACTAAACACGCGAGGGACAAAAGCGCGACGGAACAAAAACGCGACTGCATAAAAGCGCGAGAAACAAAGGCGCGAGCGAGAAAAGCGCGAGAAACAAAAGCGCGAGGAACAAAAGCGCGACGGAACAAAAACGCGAGGGAAAAAACGCGACGGAACAAAAACGCGACTGGAGTAAAGCACGATTGGACAACAACGCGAGGTATCTAACTATCTACGAGGACTGTAAGCAAAAGAGGGACACATCAAATTGTATCAATAATATTCAGAAAAATGCAGCCTTACTCAAACTAACCCATACTAACCTGTTGCCCTAGTGCGATCTAGTCTTCGTTAAATAGAATTTTATTTGAAAAACAAGGCGCGGTCAAGTGACCCTACGCTATAAATAAATTGACTGTTTTTTTGGATAAAATGCTAACTTATGAGTACTAGATCGCACTAGGCGGACGGGTTATTTTGGGTTAGTTTGAGCAAGTCTGTATTTGCTTTATTATTATTGGTTCAAATTGATGTCGCAATACAGACTTACTCAAACTAACCCAAAATAACCCGTCCACCTAGTACGATCTAGTCCTCGTAAGCATTTTATTTAAAAAAACAAAGTTAATTCACTGATTGATTGCTCAGGGTCTCTTGAGAGCGCAGTGCTTTTTAAATAAAATGCTAACTCACGAGGACGAGATTGCCCTAGACGGACGGGTTAGTTTGAGTAAGTCTACATAATTTTGATTAATATTGGAAGAATTTGATGTTTCCCTCTTTTGCTTAGAGGTCGTCGTTGTAAATGTCGCTCTTTTAATTTGTCACTGTTCTAAATCTCGTTGTTTACATATGTCGCTCTTTTGATATGTTGCTGTTTTTTTTAGATGTCGCCATTTTGAATATCGCTGTTCCAAATGTCGCTATTTTGATATATCGCTTTAACAATATGTCGCCTTTTTGATGTTGCTATTTTAAATATCGTTCTTTTGAACCGGAGCCACCAAAAATATCTTGTATTTTGGAAAACGATCTCCAGTTCTCGTAGTAAGGCACTTCGCGTTCTTGGCCAATCGGGCTTTATCCAGTCGCGATTTTGTTCTGTCGCGCTTTTGTCCCCTCGCGCTTTTGCTTCTAGCGCTTTTATCCAGTCGCGTTTTTGCGCAGCCGTGCGCTTTTGTCCCTCGCGCTTTTGTTTCTCGCGCTTCTATCCAGTCGCGTTTTTGTCCATCGCGCACTTGTCCTGTCGCGTTTTTGTTCCGTCGTGATTTTGTCCCTCGCGCTTTTCGTATCGCGTAAACGGTTGTCGCGCAAATGACACAGATCCCATGCATAAACTGGCATTTTTTAATTGTTGATTTCAACCAATCAGATTACGATTACGTGATAATTTGTACTAGTGCAGGATTATCGGATTGGATAATTGCTTACTAACGGGTGGCATTTGACATTTTTTCTGATTGCTGACATTTTATACTTACGAGGATATACTAAAAATTTAAATTTTTGATTCATGAAATTCTCTCATAAAATACAACTAGAGCAATGGAAATATATCTATAATTTTTGAGAAATTTGCTCTCATGCATTTTTAACTTGAAAAGGCACTCGTCCCTCGTGCTTTTTTTCAACTAAAAATGCATTGGGGAAAATTTGCCAAAAATTATCGATAATTTCCATTTTATCCCAATTTGATTTTATTTCTAATTTTATTTTATTTTCTGTATAAATGAGCACACGATATTTCGCTTTCTGATTTTTGAAACCTATAAGGCTTCAATAGAGTTTTCCTAAGCTAAAGAAAAAAAAATGTAAAACTATTCTCAAAAAATTTAGAAATAAATATTTGCTCCAACAAATGTTGAGTTTCACTAATTAAAATATACTTACAGGCTGCATTAAAATCAAGGGTGGGAGATCATTTACTTTTACTCACCTAATTTTATACTGCCCTTCGTTTTTTGTGTTGATGTCGGTCTAACTTAACGGCAAGCTTGCGAAACACAAGTTTTTCTCAAACACGATTTTTTCATGGAGAAAAAGAGCGGCAAATTTTACCGGTGTGAAGTTAGCAGCCTTTTTGCAGCAGCCAAAAATGTGAAGTTAGCAGCCATTTGTAGCAGCCAAAATTGTGAAGTTAGCAGCCATTTTTTGGCAGCTCTTTTTTTTTTTAAAGTGGTTGATTTACAAATTTTGTGTACATTATTATTATATACCCTCGTGCAAAGTACAACAGAATAACAAAAAAAAAAACTACCCCTAATAAAACATCAAGTAGAACAATAATATCTACTAAACAACTTTTTTAAAATAAAATGTAACACCATGAAATTAAGAATAGTCTTTAACATAGCCCTCAAGTACTTCTAGTTCGGAGAACAACCCCTTATTGCCGTCAGGCTGGGATCAACCCTTATTATTAAAATAATTGGAAAAGCACATTTCGGAAAAATATAACACCATCAAACCCAGTGGGACGATCATCAGAACCATTTCTAACATTTCCACCAAAGGACAACCCCTTACCTGCCGTCGGAGTGTGTCAAAAACTACCCTAAGTACGAAAATAATAGAAAAAAATTGGAAAAACACATTTCGGAAAACTGTAACGCTCTGAAACTTGATTGAGACGATAACTAGAACCATTTCAAACATTCCCTCCAAAGGAAATCCCCTTACCTGCCGTCGGAGTGTGTTAAAAACTACCCTTAGTGCGAAAATGATAGAAAAAAATTGGAAAAACACATTTTGGAAAACTGTAACGCTCTGAAACTTGATTGAGACGATAACTAGAACCATTTCAAACATGCCCTCCAAAGCAAATCCCCTTACCTGCCGTCGGAGTGTGTTAAAAACTACCCTTAGTGCGAAAATGTTAGAAAAAAATTGGAAAAACACATTTCGGAAAACTGTAACGCTCTGAAACTTGATTGAGACGATAACTAGAACCATTTCAAACATTCCCTCCAAAGGAAATCCCCTTACCTGCCGTCGGAGTGTGTTAAAAACTACCCTTAGTGCGAAAATGATAGAAAAAAATTGGAAAAACACATTTCGGAAAACTGTAACGCTCTGAAACTTGATTGAGACGATAACTAGAACCATTTCAAACATGCCCTCCAAAACAAATCCCCTTACCTGCCGTCGGAGTGTGTTAAAAACTACCCTTAGTGCGAAAATGATAGAAAAAAATTGGAAAAACACATTTTGGAAAACTGTAACGCTCTGAAACTTGATTGAGACGATAACTAGAACCATTTCAAACATTCCCTCCAAAGGAAATACCCTTACCTGCCGTCGGAGTGTGTTAAAAACTACCCTTAGTGCAAAAATGATAGAAAAAAATTGGAAAAACACATTTCGGAAAACTGTAACGCTCTGAAACTTCATTGAGACGATAACTAGAACCATTTCAAACATTCCCTCCAAAGGAAATCCCCTTACCTACCGTCGGAGTGTGTTAAAAACTACCCTTAGTGCGA